GAGAACCCAGCAGATTGAAGAACCCAGCATGCTTGCCTGGGGTTGCACCGAACCCAGCACGCTTGGGTTCCTTGCGAACCTAGACGCTGGGTTCGCAAAGAACCGAACCCAAGCGATCTGGGTCTGTTGAACCCCAGCCGAACCCAGTGCCTAGGTGGGTTCGTCGAACCCAGCCTTGGGTTTGACGAACCTAGGCGAACCCAGCGGGTGGGTTTGAAGGAACCCAGGCCTACTGGGTTCCAAAGGGAAGGAGGAAGAGAAAGGGGAAGGAGAAAGAGAAAGGGAAAGGGGAAGGAGAAAGAAAAAAGAAAAAAGTTTTATTTTTTATAATATTTTTTTATATAATTTTTTTTCCACATCATCAGTTTTTGATTATATTACTTTCCACGTGGATTACTATATGACATGTCATCTGGTAACTGTTAAGTAACAGGCCACGTCACACAATTTTTAATGGAAGGACAAAATCGGGGTAAAAATGGTAAACAGTAGGGACTAAATCAGGGATTTTTTTAGTTCAGAGATCAAATCGGGAGTCCGTACAATAGCTCAGGAACCAAAAAGGAGTTTTAACCTAAACTTTATTTGCTTGTGTTTGAGCTTTTGAGGGTTTGGGCTTCTTCGGGAACTAAAACTTGTCAGCAGCAATGCGAACGCTAAAACCGAAGGGGAAAATAAGACGTAAGAAAGTGTTTTTTTATAGGATGCCATGTGACAATGTGCCCCAATGAAGAATTGGTCTAGTGGCATCTGTGTATGACAAAATCAGAGTATTTAGCAAGTTTCTTAAAATTATTATGAAAATTAAAAAATGTATTGTGTAAACGTGAATTGTATTATTTTGAATAAATTATAAATTTTAGGAAATGGAAAAAGAAAATGAGGTCGAGAGTTTTTAGATTTTGATTAAATATGTGATGAACAGCACTGTTTTTATCCTTTTATAGGTAGGATTATTATTATATTTTAAATAATTAATATCGTGTCTTAAATATAATTATTTATTATATTTTTATATTATATTTTTTATAAAATTTTATTTTTTTTATTTTTTAATAAATTAAAAAATATAATAATTAATTAAAATAAAAAATATAACATTAATAATTAAACATGTAATAATAACATCACCTTTGCTCATAAGTTCATGTAAACATGAATTGTATTGAATTATTGTCAATAATCTAAGTAACAAAGTGGTTATCTTCTTCTGTTGGAAGTAATAGATCTTAAATTCAAGTCACATGACATGCAGTGAAGTGAAATGAGATAAAAGATATGAAAAATAATTACCCTTTATTATACAAATAAGATAAAAAATATATTTATATATATTAAATGAAGAGTGATAAAAGCAAAATCAGAATCTATTAGCATTATTATTATTATTTGAAAATTGGCCATGGAAATCATAATCTATTATTGAGTAGATCTATTATAAATTTTAACTAGGATTTACCAATTCTGTATTTTAAATAATAATTATATAATTATTATAATATTTTTATTTTAAAAATAATAAAATTAACTTTTATTTTAATTACAAATTTCACGTATTAGTTTTTACTTGTTCATTTTGAAATTAAAATGAAAATTTATCTTTTTTAATTTAGAATTTAATATCTTTTAAAAGAATTCATAATTATTACTTAAGAATTAGACTTTATCCTGTACCCGGATAGACAATGGCTTAGGAGAAGACAAACCCTTTAACTAATAGGGCTTAAAATTAAAAGAATTTGTTTATTACGTTTATTTTATAAATGAAATTTTTTATTTTATGTTTTTAGGGTATAGATTAATAATATAATAAATATATTTTTTTATAATGAATTTACATAAAATAATAAAAATG